TTTCTTTCAGTTCTAATTCTAACTGATGGACAATCACTGCCCGTGAGCGAACATGATTAAGTAATGAACAACGACACTATTAAATTTATCCTAATTACATTATACTGACAATATATCAATAGTGAGCAATCATCTCCAGGCTGAGCATGTGTTTCTAAAGTACTTTCTAGAAATCTGCATAGTCCGTTCATAGCTCACACACAGATAGATACATGAGTATAATTGCACACATGTATTCATATTCAAATCACCGCACATGCACACTTCAATCACCTTCCAGTGAGGATGATGTTTTCATATGTCATGATGAGGCAATGATTTGCTGCGAAGAATCCTCGCTTCATGACGGGGAGACAAAATCGAACCCAATTTCTGTTTGTAATTAAAACCATTTCCACATTCGCCTCTTGGAAGGCCACAACATTCAGAGGTCAATAGCAGTCTAATTCAGTCATTCAGGGAGCTGTACTGCAGAACAACAGCTTGCAGTTTCCTTAACATCCACATATTCTGAACATGCAAATATAGTATTAGTGTGGCTTAATGGACCATAAGAATTAAAAGTTTACAGTGACCTCCTGTTGTTTCATTTTAAATAATGTTGTCTCTAAAACTACTTTTACTGTGATTTTAAAACTAATTATACAATTCTTCTGTTCTGTGTTGATGTTCATATCATTTGTGTGCTGAGTTTAATGACCCAAGATCATCTGAGAATCTCTGAAGTCAGTCAGTCAGCAGTCTGAAAATAAACTTGTTTTCTCTTTATTCCCAAACAAAGCCTGAGTAAGAGTTTAGTTTGAAGTTGAACTGCTGCATTTGTGGTCCGACATTATAGAGCTAGACTTTCCATCACTCGAGGGTCACACAGTACTCGTGAATATAAGGTGGGAAACACATGTGCAGAAAGGCAGGTAAAATGTCCAAAACGCGCACACTTCAGCCCAGAGAGTTTGTAGCTACTCGTCACTGATAGTGATAAATCTCGCTATCATTATTAAATCCATCACACAATGTTTATGACTTCAGTCTAGTCTTCTGCAGGTATGCTATTTCATCTTGTAGACACGCAGTAAGGATAGAAAGAACAAGCTCATTGGTCACAAAGAGAGAAAGCGTTCTCAATCAAATAGGAGCTTACCTTGCAAATAAAGTTCTATATTTTGATGCTTCCATGTGACAGATGGTAAAAAATGTGCCAAACTATATAAAAATGTGCTGACAGAAAACAGACGCAGACTGTCATCGATGGTACAAAGTGTTAATCAACTTTTACCGCATAACATATTTTGCAGTTTGGCAACTTTTGTGTTATTAGTCATCTGAGAGTTTTAAAACACACAAGTGCAGATCTACTTTGAGCCTCTTTTTGATGAATGTCTGTTGATGATTTCGTACGGGGAGTCAGCATTACCAGTGTTTCAAAAATTAACTTGTTCCTGCTGAATCATAGTGGCAGTTTTTTTGGCAGATTAACATGTATCCTGTTGATATTGCTATATAAAAGCAATGCGGTTGAATTGCTGTCCTACAGCAGGTACATAACTATTTGTAATTGCTGTCTCAATGCACCAAAATCGCTTTGAATACCACAACTGATTGCTAGCGATCACAGAGTTGATCCTCATCTTTGAAGCAACCATTTTAAAGTGAACAAGAACCCTGTGCATTGAACAAAAAGTTTATTGCACAAAGCTGCAATAATTTTGGTCGTGCTGTGGAGATTAATCTTGGAGAATTTTTTATATCAGGAAGGATCTCGTGTCACATGCACAATTTTAAACGGACAACTCTTCATTTTGTAAAGTTTTACTTCCACTCTTTTACTCTTTTGCACTATATTGGATAAAAAGTAGTCTTCGGGCAGATAGATTTTATTTTAATGGCTACTGAATGTCATAAACATTTACACAGTGTTTGTAACGGGGCTCGATTAGATTAAAATCTTTAAACTGTAATATAGTCTTAGCTTTTCAACTTGCCCTCCTTTAAAATGAGAGAAATCATCTTGCATTTAACTCTACTTAAAGTGTGCATAAATAATAAATTAACTTAGCATCAGTCTGCCTTTCTGTCACTTTCTTTCTCTATGCTTTTTTCTTTTGACACTAAGAAGGTAATTTTATGAAAGGCGGGGAGAAATGTTTGGGACATATTTATTTCCTTACGTGATGCGATTATTCTCACAATTTTGCTTTTAGTGTCCTCAGGCACGCTTTTAGGCACAGTTAACTTGACCATGTTTAAATACATACTTGTGGAAAACCTGTATTGACATATTCCCTTTTTGCATAATACTCAAATCCACCGGAGTGGGCATTGGCACATAAAAAGCTATTCACTTATTCACTGCAAATTAGTCTCCAAATCCATATAAGCCACTGATAGCTGGGAAGAAATGCAGTAATCAATGACAGAGGTTTTTCTTTGCCTCCCTAAACAGAAGAGTTATTTATGTGTACTGACATCAATCAGCATGTAGTCTCTGCTTCAAACCAGCAAGTTCTAGAGAGGGAAGAAGTGCTTTCTTTTAATGATTTATTATAGCCAATCTGGTGTGTGTTTATTATTTATCATTATTCAAACAATGTTAAGAGAGCATGTTACTACATTTCCTTCACATTTCTTTGCCAGTGTGTTATATCAGTGTCAACAGAGAGAAAGTGGCGCACAGTGTAGCGTAATGCTGTTTGCTGCAGGTAACTATTTGCAGTGACAATTAATTAAAGCCAAATTAAACCCTTTTACATTAAAAATAAATCTGTTAAATTGTATTGTCTGTTTCTTTCCTCGTTGCCGCTTCTTTTCCTCAAAGCTGCATTTAGTCAACTGTAAACTGTCTCCCCGCTGTACTGTGCATTACTGCGAAAAGTCAACACAAATATCAAACTAATGCAGTGGAGTATTATAGACTCCTAAAAAGATTTCAACAACAGCAGCTTTCTGCTGACCTTTTATTCTTACCATCAACTATGCTGAGAAATCTTTCAATAGCTTTGCATAATAGTTTTGATTTAGATTTGTGTGTAACAGCGTGTAAATTTGCTTATTGTGGTCTACATCCCGATGAACATTTGGACATCATGACTGTTGATCTGCTGTATATACCACACACAAACACACAAACACACAAACACACAAACACACAAACACACACGCTATGGCTCTGTTCCATTTTTTTTAAAGTTGCATTTTATGGTATCACTCTTTGAATTATTTTCTTCCAGTCGGGCACATTAGCTAAAAGAAAGCAGGTTAAGCTTGCTCATTTTGTTTCTGTTGTTCTTTTGTTGAAGTCGTACATTCTGTCTTTATTCTTCCCATTTTTTTTAAAATAACGTCTACTAGCACAGACTTTAAGAAGACCTTTTTACAGCATAGAGTATGCTATCTTAAATGACACATGGCTGAAAAACACTGACAACTATCATGCAGTTTTTAAAGTCTAGTACTACTAATCAACTTGTATTGATTGGGGACAGTAACAGTGTTTTCCTACTGTACGAACACTGATTAGTCACTTACTTGACTAGCAGTATATCCCAGAAAAAGCTGCTTGTAAGAGCCTCTTACTACAAGCACTTACCAGGGCATTACTGTCTGACATACAGAAGTCTTTCTTTTACATAATAAATGAAAAAAAAAGTAGTATAAGAGCCAGCGGATGTGACATGTTAGGCATTATTTTATCGGCTATGTCGCTGCCCTGAAGGTTTTAACAGTAGTGAGGGATTGTAAGCCTTTGGGCTGAAAAGGAAATGGACCAAGGATTTTTCTTTTAGCGATAAGGTTGACTGCACCGGGCTGTGAGAGTGCTTCACTGACTAATTATTTGAAGCCTCCTCTCAGATTAGGGTAGAAGTGCAGAGCTTATGGACAGTTGCATAGCAGACAATCAGACCATGTAATAACCAGAGGGCCAATATTTGCTCAAATCCACTGTAACACCTCGCAAAACAAAAGTGTGTAAAGCCCTAATGCTCAGTCCAATCCCACGGCACACTGCCTTGATAAACACCGACGCCACCTTCACAATGGACGCCATCTTTACTCTGGCAATTAGGCAGAGTTTGGATTATCGCTTCCTCAGCCCAGCACACCACAAATCCTTCCGGATTCAATTATTCCCCTCCCACGTCTGCGGCCATTTGGGCTTTTTGGGCACATGGCCAGTAGAGGAAAGAATCTGAACTGCTCAAAGTAAAAAGTTAGAAAGAAAAAAAAACCTTCTTCTTTTTTTTTTTTTTTTACTATGCCTATACTCCTGCAACTTTGACGAGTCTATTAAATTAAAATGAAACCTCGGGAACTTGCAAACACTATCCTGTTGAATATTTTATGAGAACAATAAGCTAAATTTACTGTGATCCTTTCCTTTAAATTTTGTAAGTGTTCGGTGTTATCTGAAAAACATTGCACTACATCCTTCCCTCCAAGCTGCTGATGGTTTGATCCTCCCCCTGTAGGCCAGGAATGTCTCCAGTGGTTTCTGCATAAGAAACTAAAATGCTTACTGAAAGGATTTGATTTAGTCTGTCTTATTCTACTTATTCTACTTCAATTGAGTTGTTTTCGTGTGTTAGACAGCACACTCGGGGTAAATTGTGTACAAGATCAAGGGTTTCCAGGGTCAGGAGAGTTGCATTTTTGTAATTGAGGGCCTCTCTTCAATGTGTTTGCTTAGATGCTTTTTTGTCTTCCACCTGGTGACTCTTTGTGGAGTACAGACATTTCACTCTAGTGCCTTTGTGTGTGTTTGTGTTGCCAGCACATCTGCTACACAGTTTACTCATGGTAGCATGGAAATTTATCACAGGTCTCAAATAAAGGACCTCCTTTTTTTGTATATTACCCTACCTGACCCATCACACTGTTTATGCTTTTGGGTGCTTTTCCCCTCTCATCAGTAAATGGCCAACTGTGGCTGTCACCTGCGTTTTATGTGTCTCTTACTCACAGCCTAACACTCTCCTCTGTCCTTCTCCTCTTTTTAATTACAGATACTACTGTCTCATCCCAGAAAGGTAAGACAGCATTTAATCAGTCACGTGTAGATTATCGCATATTTTCAGATGGGTTCCACGTGCTTGTGTTACTCCTGTGTGTGTTCCAAATTTTTGCTAATGAGATGACAAAACATTTCATGTTTTTTTGTTAATGTTGATTTGAAATTGAGTCACTCGTGGGTTTTGTTGCACAACAATCTTTTTGATTACAAAGTCAATCACTCACACCCACTGACACCCAGACTAAATTACCTTGCTACTCTGCAAAGGCAGACAACCCACAGTCTGTTTTTATGCACTGTTTTCTGTAGGTCTTATGTTCAGATTAATCACAGTTCTGTTTAGACTCCTCCACACTTTCATGTGAATGCTAATAAGAGGTTGGAGGAGGTGACTGTTTTGCATAGTGGCTCTTCGGGGACAGACGGGAAGTTTAGTGCAGTTGTAGGAAAGTACCTGTAGGCTGTTTAGATTTTGTAAGATGATAGGGCCAGGCAGTCAAATTGTCTAAACAGCTCCAGGGGTCTTGTTCTGAGTGGCAGGTGTATGCACCAGGCAGTCCCAGCCCCTATACTCTTGCTAGAGATGATACAGTAATGGCAGAGGGTGTGTCACACTCGGTGATTGCAAAGAACGATCAGACAATCAACCAGGAAAACTCCCTGCTGATTTTGTTGAAACTGTCTTTTATTCCCTGCTGTGCTTATAAGAATATAGATATTCTTTTGTACAAGCTTTTACCAGAGCAGAACAGAACACAGATACAAATATTTTCATTGTCACCTGGATCTGATATAATGCGCATGTATATGTGAAAAACCTAAACAGCAGGTGGGTTTCTCTGGGAACATGGTGGCATTTTTGCCTTTCAAAGCTTTAGATCTGAAAAAGATACAGTTCATCTGCGTGACTGGGTACACACTGTATGCTCTCACTCACACACTGTTGTGAGCCTATGTATGTGATGACTGTGTGGTGTACAATGCTGTCAGATTGGCCTATAAAGGTAAGTGATGCGGGTTGCCCGAGCCTTGCTGTCTGATGAATGTTGAAGGGGTGCAGAAGCTCGCGAGGTGTACATCATCCCTCCACAGCTGCACTCGCATACGTTTCTGAAGGAAGTGGGGGGATAAATAAGGCCGCGCAACCCTGACAGTGAATGAATGCTTGCTTTTGTCAGCCCGTGTGTGTCCGTGCCTGTGTCTGACTTAGTTGTGTGCGTGTTTTTGTATGTCTTTCTTTTCTTTCACATCTTGTATGTCCAATTCAAATCTGTTTAGTTAGAAGCATCAACAAAAACAGCTACCAATCCCACACAATGAGAGTGTCATCTGGCTGTATTCATTAATATACTGTGAGTTATAGATGGTTATGCTGCTCTGAAAGTGTCATCAGTGCTCAGCAGCCTTGTGGCCTTGAGGCAAAGATAATGTTCATATACCATGTGTTTGTATGAAAAGATGTGTATATGTTCATGTGTGTGTGTATGTGCACCTCAGCACAAAAGATGAAAAAAGCTGGAAGTTTGTCCAGCAATTTCAATGCAGTTATATTCAGCACAAACTAAGAGGCTACATTATATTACACGTGTTAGTCTGAAGGGCAGCACACAGTAGTTAGGTCCAGGTAGGATTCAAGCTACATTTGAATAACCTTTACTGTTGTTCCATACCAATATGATTAGTGATTAATAAAGGCTCTTATTATAAGTTGACCTTATTCTTCAGTTTTCTGCTTCTGTGGAACATCTCTGCTATCTGCACCTTTCATGACATCCTTTATCCAACACTTCTCCACCCCCTTACACTCCTCCTCCCTCTCTGCTGCCAAACGAAGTATATTTATGGCACCTGTGCTGGAAAAACAGTCTCCAGGAGTCGTCCCACTAATTTCATTTTCAAAATGCCAGCAATAAATTTATCAAATGGGCTGAATCGAATCGGAGTCACACGCCGTGCCATCCGTCATGGGCTGTCCCTCAGGGGCCTGTGGGCGTACTTAAGCCGGCCAAAAACCTCCGCTGGCAGGAGAAACCAGATGAATATACTAGAGAAATATGCTGAGAACAAGAATGTGTGCGCATATCTTTATGCGCTTAGATCCATATGTGCAAGCAAAAATTAGCTTGTCCACACGCAGGGATGCATATGTGTGCACAGAGGTCAATGCTAATTTTTCAGCTCATAGAAGCCTCATGTCGAAATCTGAGCTAAGCGCTTTGGATGTCAATGTGCCAGAACAGTAATTGATTAATTGCAACACCAGTTAATTGATTGTTTTGCACATTTTTGCTTTTGTGAATCCCTCTCAGTTCAAACACTGCTTTGAGCTTTATCCCCTCCCCAGCCTCTGAAAACTCGAGTTTCACACGCTCTGTGCCCTCCCATTCCCCTCCCATTTCTCACTGCCTCATCCTCTGTACCTCACTGTGGCACCTTTGCCTCTCTTTTTAAATGCCTCTGTCCCCACTTTGCTTTTGTTTCACCGATCTTTTCCTCTGCCTATCTTTCCTTGCCCTCTCAACATTTATCACCGTGCAGGCTAAGCCAGGCATGAGGGAGGGTAAAGCAGCTTAGTACTAACAGTTCTAATGAAGTCAGGCCCTGTATCCCTCTAACAGGGATCAGTGGAGCTAGTCTGTGAAGCCTGTCAGCATTTAATGATTAGATGAAACATTCAGACACCCGCTACGAGAAGACATGCACACTGATATATGGTAATACCCAGCTGTGGTCTCTGTTACGCAACTCAACAAAGAATTATGCACACAAACACACTCTCACTAGCCCCCAAACTCCAGCTGTAAAGATCATGATTTATGACTGAAGCATGGCATCAAGGGTATACACAGCAAAGTGATTGGAATAAAAGCAAATGACAGAGAGGTTCAGAGAATGAACAATCTGGCTATTGATTTTTGCTATGTGCAGGAAGGTGGACAAAAATGTAAACTGCATGAGAGAGATTTACTCCTTGACTTGATGAGCAGACTGTAAACAACTCCACACGCTCTCGTCAAGATGCATGCTGCGATCCATGATTTTTCCCTGCTTCTTGCTTCTGCTAAAATGCCTGATAGAAGATCAATAAACAGGTCATCATCTTTTTGAACATTTCAAGATTCACCGCTGATTAATTCTGAATCCTATTAGATTAAGTTGTCCTAGTCTGTGCCCACGCACGGCAGCTTAATGTGTGCCCGTGGTGTTGTACGTGTTGTTGGCATATGAGTAAGTTTTTCAGAGGGAGTACGTTAGTGTGTTGAAATGCTGAATCTGAAAAATAGAGTGACAGAGGCAATGGTTGGGTCAACAAGCTGCCTGTTTGTCAGAGTGAAAGGGTGCCCACAAGGCCTTAGCTGCTTTTTGCCCCATTAGCTACACATGCAAATTTACCTGTCAGCTTTACAGCTACACAAGGAAAACGCAGTCTTCTCAACTTCTCTGCCTCACTCTTATTCCAGTCCCCCCCCTCTAAATCTCAAACTCCAGATCTCCTCCTCATTACATTTTGTTCAATATCTTCCTTCCACTGCAAAATTGGGAACATATTCTGTCCTCACACCAGTAATTTCTCTCCCTCTTGTAAAAGTACCTGTTTAACTCCACTTGAAGGATTGTGAGACACTGGATTTGAAATAAATGTATGTGCATTTCTGCCAGAACGCATCTGCTGCTTCAAGGCTTTTCACATATCTCTTGCTTAGCAAAGCCTCATAAAAAAGTACTTGGCGAAGCTACTTGAAAATACAGTTTTTCTAAGGAACCACTTTCAGCCAAAGAAGTTGAGAAGGAAATGTCCACTGAGCTTAATTTATAATTTGTTAACTGATAATTACAATACTGTAATCCTTATGTGATCTTCTCAGCTATTAACTGCCTCGTAAATCCAGCCACAAAAGAAGCTCCTCTCACTCTATGGCCACATCAGAGTGTAATGGTGTTGCTCAGAGGTAATATAATAAACATTAAGTTGAGTACTAGCCAGGATATAAATAATGATATGTGAGAGACCCTGTCTGGACTCATGAATTAAAACCCCATCCTGTTTCCATGATCTAGTTCTGGAACATTAGAGTGTTCAGTTGCTAAAAGGGGTTAAAATGTTGTTGTAGCTGTTGTCAGTGAAAACCCTACTTTATCCCTCTTAAAGCATCCATCCATCTGCCCATCCGTTTTCTTACTTATCCAATGTAGGGTTGTGGTAATGTAGTGTAGGGTGGTGGTGGGAAGGGGGTTCGGGCTTATCCCAGCTTTCAAGGCAAGATTTTGCAATCAGAATTGTGATCTGAATCCAACGTTTTGCCAAAGACATTTTGCTTTTCCAAAAAAGCGAGCTCTGTCAATTCTTGATAGCCTCTTCTTGTTCACGTGTTACTTTTATTTCATCATTTATTAATTTACATTCATGTCATGTTCATTATCACAGTGCATTTGTAAGAGGGAAGTGTCCAAGCCAGGAAGGGGGAAGAAAAAAAAGAAAGAGAGAAAAAAGAAAAAGTGGGATCCAAAACTTCTACAGGAACAAAAGCATTTATGCAACCATGAATTCAAGAGTTCTGCAGAAAACACTTCTTTGCCGTTATTCACTACCAGAACTCAGGAGCAGAAATGGAAGTTACGATGGTATTTCACATTTGATTCTAAATTCAAATAAAACAATAAACAAGATGGTTAATAAAACCAAAAATATAACGTATCCTCAAGGAGAATGTAAAGATGAGATAAAGTAATAGTTGCAATTATTTTCAGACATCTGCACCCTGTGCAGTCAGACTCTAAATGGCTTTGTTGATCACATACTGTACCTATCATATGGTTATACAGCTGGTGCTTTGTTTTACTTTGACTCATAAGCTTCACAAACACTCTACGCACTAATAAACTGTAAGAATAGACCTTATGTATGCATTGCTTTTGATAGTAGCATATAACTTAACGGATTTTGCTTGAAATTTTTTATTGCCATCCTTTGTCCTCACAGAATGAATCATAGTGCCATTGTTCCCCTGACTTTTA